AGCGCTGAGGGATCTGGGGGAGTTGGGAACGGTCAGGGGGAGGGTCATGGGGGAGCTGCAGGGGCTTTTCCATCCCGGATGATTCTGGGATTCTGAGGCCCCTCCCAGGGGTGCTGGGGCCACCCATCCCCTCTCCATGGGCCGTGTCCTGAGCCCCCCACTCCTGTCGCAGCAGCCAGCTCCTCCCTTCACCCCAAACCGCTGCCTCAGCCCTGGGAGCCAGCGGCTGCCCTGACCACGTGCCCTCCGGCTTGCAGGCCATCCGGGACGGCGTGATCGAGGCCAGCATTAACCACGAGAAGGGCTACGTCCAGTCGAAGGAGATGATCGACATCTACTCCACCCGGGAGCCGCAGCTGGCCTTCCACCAGCGCATCTCCTTCTGCCTCGACATCCACAACATGTCGGTCAAGGTGAGCGCGGCCGGGCCGGCACCAGGGCAGCCTTGAGGCCTTTTCTCAGCTCGGAGCTTCTCCTCTCCCTTTGTTTTTTTTTCTGATTTTTTTTGTTTGTTTGTTTGTTTGTTTCCAGGCCATGAGGTTCCCACCCAAATCTTACAACAAGGACTTGGAATCCGCAGAGGTGAGCTCTCAGCGGGGGCTCTCCCCCTCCTGCCCCGTGGGGACGCGACTCCCGTCCCCAACTGCCACCAACCTCTTGCCTTTGCCCCCCAGGAGCGCCGGGAGCGTGAGCAACAGGACCTGGAGTTCGCAAAGGAGATGGCAGAGGACGATGACGACGGTTTTCCATGAGGCCCTGCCCTGGCTGTATTTTTTTATCTGTCCCTAGGGAAGATGCTGTCTGAGCGGAGCTCCCCCACGCAGCCCCGGTCCCCCCCCGTCTGTCCTTCTTTTATAAATACCTGCATGTCTGTACCGGGGCGGGGGGGGACGCGGGGGTTCCCTGGGCCCCCAGCCACAGGCCCTGCTCTCCCGTCCCCCTGCCCCCCAGGGCAGGAACCCCCTTCCCCAATAAACAAACATTATTTTAAGGTTGTTTGTGGTCACAGTCGTTGCTGAGCCCCGTGGAGCCACAGACGAGCCCCGGAATCGGGAGCTCCTGGGGCAGCAGGGCCAGGGCAGGTGGCAGTGGCGGGGGGGGCAGGAGCACAGCTCCATTGGGACCGTGGGTGTGTGTCCCCCCCCCCAGCTCTCACAACAATAATGGGGTCAAAACTTTGTTAAGCTTCAATTATGACTTTTAAAATAAAAGTTGGAAAAAAAAAAAAACAAACAAACCAAAACCAGCCTGGCCTGCTCCTGCCGTGAGTTTGTTGTGAGGGGGAGAGCGCGGGGTAGAGGGGGGCTGATTCCTGTTACCTCCTTCCCTCCCCAGGGTGGGCGATGCGCTGGGGCCACCTCTGGCCAAGACCCCCCCACTTCATAGTGCTGGGCCCCCATCTGCTCCACCCCAGGCTCCTCTTTCCCCCCACCCGCCCTGTTCTGCGGCTGCAAAGCCCGGAGCGGGATTACGGGACCTAAGAGTTGGGGGGGGAGAGCTGAGCCCCACCACTCCCCCCTCCCTGACTGGAAAGGCACAGGGGGGTCGGACCGTCCCCTCCTTGTGTTCCCCCCGCAGCCCTGGGGAGTGAGGGGGGGCAGGGGCCATGCACCCCCCCCTTCCCAGGGCGGGTCCCACCAGCATCTGGGACCAGCTGGGCCCCTCTGGGGAAATCCGGGAATGTCCCAGCGCGCCGGAGCGGGCGGCCAGGGGCTGGGGGTCAAATACGGGGGTGATGGGCGCAGCCTGGCCCCGCGTCACGGCCACCCCTGGGAAAACGAGACCCCCCGGGGGTGCCGGATCCTGCGCTGGGGACACG